TTACTAACAAACAAACGTTGTTTACTGTGACTGTGCGCTGCGAGGGTTCGGGTAGGGTTCGGGTCGGGGTCGGGTACATACTGGATCAGGTCTCTGAAGCCCAGGAAGGACAGGACGTGCAGCAGCGGGTCTGAAGGGAGCTGGTCCATCCGGAACTCCGGGGAGGCGGCCATTGTTAGCAACACTTCTTCTTCTCCTCCTTTAATGGCGGCAGCGAAACAACATAACGGCGGAACACCGCCACCTGCTGTCTGACAGCGGAACACCGCCACCTGCTGTCTGACAGCGGAACACCGCCACCTGCTGTCTGACAGCGGAACACCGCCACCTCACATCAAGTGTTCACATTAAATACCTTTTTATCTTTTCCCTCATTAAACATATTATATTAATATAATATAAACACCTACAGTACTGTAAACAACAACAACAACAACAACAAAACACATAAATAGTAAATACAATCAGATAAAACAGGTTTCCACTTAAAATGGAAGAGGTGGAAGGACGATGGGAAAAACTTTCTCTTTTCTTTAGCCTCACCTCACAAACCACTTTTTTATTTGATTTTTTTATTTTACTGTCAGCGCTGTTATGATTTTATCAAAATATTCTATACTTACTTTTTATGCCCGTGTTGACTGTTTTATTTATTTTTCTTTCTGAAGCACTTTTGTCAGCGTTAAACGTGCCGTAACTAAAATGAAGTAATAAGTAATAATTTCTACTTGAATTGCCTCTCTGTCTGTCCTGAAGAGGGGACAAAGAAGTCAACTTTTCATTTAATCATGTGGAAAAACACTAAGGCACTGCACCTTGCACAGAACACTGAATATTATAATTAATGCTCGTTAGGATGCTCTGTCTTGCTATTGTTCAGGAAATACATTCAATGGAAAAATCGACCTATCCCTTGAGATTTAAAAAGAAAGATTTCAGATAGAAAACTGGGAACATTATACAGCAACAGTCCACATACACTGCTACTCTGTGAGTGTAGTAATTCAGATGAATGTAGCAGAACCAGAGGTTGAAACCCACAACCTAAAGACTAACACACAGTCAGTGGTGTAGTGGCAGTCTCAATGTATGACTTAAATTATTTTAAAGTGTCTGACAAAGGATAAACTCCCTACTGTCTACTTGTAGCTTAGCTGAAAATGGGCCAGTAATATTTTAACATTGTCATGTAACTTGTGCTGCTTGACTTCAGGGAGTAAAGAACAAACTTTTATTGGCTTTAGTTACATTATTATTATCATTATTATTATTATTATTATTGTATTATTATTATGATCATTATTATTTATTATTATTATAATTATAATTATTATTTATTATTATTATCATTATTATTTATTATTATTATCATTATTATTATTATTATTATTGTATTATTATTATGATCATTATTATTTATTACTTATTATCATTATTATTATTATTATTATTATTATTGCCATTATTATTATTATCATTATTATTTATTATTATTTTATTATTATTATTATTATTTATTATTATTATTATCATTATTATCATTATTATTATTATTATTATCATTATTATTATTATTATTATTATTATTATTATTATTATTATTATTATTATTATTATTATTATTATTATTATTATTATTATTATCATTCAGCTTTATATAAATAAAATCAGATATAATATATTTCTGGTGCTGTCTGTCTTTATGCTGGTGGAGTTGTTTGCTGCCCTCCAGTGGTCGCAGTGAGGAACTACACCAAGGAGATACTCAAGTTAGACACAATGACATAACGATACCCCTTCCGGTCAGTGCTTTCAAAATAAACCCATGACCCAACTGAAACAATCAGTAACTGATGAATTACCAGTTATTATTGTGTTTATTAATGTCTCTACACAAGCTGTGCCGTACATTGTCCAAATATGTATTTTTAAAAGAAGATACCCCACTCTATATCATTATTAATGTTAGCAAAGATAAGATCACATTTTTACTTTTTAAAAAAAAGAAAGAGAACACGTCTGTTCTCCATAAACACCCTCTGTGATCGCCTCACAGCAGTTCACACCAGTAACGGTAGATAACTGTTAGCTAACTGTTAGACAAACTGCTGGTTAACAGTTGGAGTCTTAAACTTCATCATATCACATTTTAAACCTTTAAGCTCAACAACTGGACATTAAAACCAACGTTCACAGCAGTAAAGCAGTCTGTCCCACACACGTATCTGTCTGTGAGTCTGTCCGGTTGTCTGAAGCTAACGTTAGCTCAACCAGCTACAGAGAGTCCAAATCAAACCAGTTAGACTTTATCTGCAGCGGTTCCTGATCACAACTGATCAATTATTACACTGTTATCGATTAATATAACGACAGTTTTTAATGCCACTTTTATATATGAACCTTACTGAGTAATGTCTAATATGTCACTAATGTAATATCTTAATAAAATGTAGATAAATTGGTCCGTTTTTCTAAAGAAACTGGTTAAATTATCACATCTGAAGTGCAATTAAAAAATTGCGAGTACGATATAAAAATTATTAATGGTTTACTACAACAGAACAATTGATTGTTAATTTCTGATTGTGTTTGGTAGATTTATTTTGAAAGCGTTAACCGGAAGTTGTAGCATTGTAGTCATGTTATAATGTCTAACTTAACTTAATCACCGGGGTGTAGTTCCTCATTACGGCCACTGGAGGGCAGCAAATACTCTTCTTCTTCTACAAGGAATCATTAACAGTCCACCAGCATAAAGAATACAGCAACAATCTCCACAAAGCTTTATTTAAAAGGACTTTATTAATTCATGTTTTACTTATACTAATGATACATATGTCACTTGTAATAATTACACTAATATTGTTCACTTAAATATAAATAATTGACTTAAATACGGCTTCTTCCCTCAGGATGAGATTGTTAAATTATTCATCAACAATTTATCACAAATATTCATATTTATTTTTTTATGACTAATTTTTTGAAGTAGCATAAAGTGACCTATATCTATATCTATATAAGTATAAATAAAATAACGTTGAATCTTTGTAATAAAGCAGATTTATTGTAGTGTTGTAGTTCCTCATTATGACCACTGGAGGGCAGCAAACACACGTTAATCTAAATACACTCGCGTCAGCGGTCAGCTGCAGCAGTGTAAAGACACACACAACCACATACACACGTTTCCGGTAAAACCTTTCAAAGTAAAACAACTGAGACCGACAGCGGTTTATTTGAATGCATTAAACGAGGGGCTCTTATTGTGAAATATGTCCGTTACCTTTGCTAGCTACGGACTGATATTAGACTAATCGATCGGTTGAAGAGAAACTCGATGTATAAAAGTTGATAGATGAAATAATAACTGTACAAAAACGAATATTATTTTACAACAAGAAAGAGAAACATAGCTTCTACAGGTTGTTTAACCCAATAACTTTATTTGACCTCATTATACACATTTTTGTAGGAATCAATCAATCATCAATTCTTATCAATAACAACACAAAGACCCAAGAAAAACTACAAACAACAGCAAAGCCAGATAAGCAATATAAATAAAGACGTCCCATACATACGTAAAAACACTCTGATATTACTCAACAGTTTTTATTTTATTTTATCCACATCAGCGTAATACAGTGTCAGCTGAAGAAGTGTACATGAGGTTATTCTAACAAAGGAAGTGGTGTCTCTCTTAACAGCAGCTGTTCCTGTTCAACTATGATATATAAATATATATTATATATTTATATATATACTATGATATATAAATATATATTATATATTTATATATATATATATATAGACAAACACAAACAAACAGAGTGTGGCTATCTATCTGACAGAATAGTTAATAAATGAAGGTGTCCACTCTGTGCCAGCTGTGTGTAATTTACACATATTGGAGAGGACCGAGTGTGCGCCAAAGAGATCACAACAAACTCACATCCTCTCCAATAAGATCTACTGACTGATTATTATTGATTATTGATTGAAAGACTCCACCCCTATATCTGGCAGGAACATAGTTGGAAAGTGGAGTTTGTCTTTATTCTTGAGGCAGTTCACAGGATACAACTATTGTCAGAATATCTGTTATTGTTGTTAATTATTCATTTAGTGTTTCCTAAAAACAAACAAAGAAATGTCAACAATAATTCTCTATGTCATGAAGACCAGGGTGTCTGCAGGGTTTTAACAACAATACAATCAGAATTTTAGGCCTTAAAATGTCTTAAGTGTGATTGGATGATGAAGTCAATGATATTTGTACAAAGTTGAAATTTCAGTCTCACTTTTAGATGTTTTTGGTGGAAAATGTGTATTGATGATGCTGTAACAATGTCACAATGAACCAATACATATCCATAGTACTTTATTGGCAGTGTGGACATGAAATAGGTTTTGAATTGCAAACATAATGATCTTAAAACCTGCAGAAACACTGATAGTGACTGAAGTTGCAGCTGTAAATCCACTAACATCAGGTACATTTTAATGGTGTTATTCTGGCTGTAAAACAACTTTTCCTTTGATTTTTAAAGACAGACATCATTTTTCTGAATCCTTTAAATTAATTTATTGCGGTAGCTGTAGATTCTGTAAATTAGTGCTGCACAGTTCATTAAATATATGTAGAAATCACAGTAGTTCTGCAGAGATGTCCCGAGCTACAAAGCTCGTTCTTACAGACCATGTAACCATTCCCACTAACTGAACACCAACAGATTTTACAATTGCAATAAGATTAAATACACAATCAGATGTTTCAGCCACATCATGCAGCTCTAGAATGAATGCAACTCAAAGTAGTGATTTGGCATTGGCAGAAAAGATCTGGCAAATTTTTCATGGGTCCAACCCACATACTCAGCTCTGCTGCTCATCCCATAAATGCTCCAACGGTATAAGATTTATTTACCACAGGGAAATAATCTACCAAACACAAATTTCCTTACTTTTTGTGCTAAATTTATAAATATAAAATATCCTTTCACTGAACGCTCATCAACAGGTGGTGTTGATTTCCTCTGACAATAACAGCAAGAAAACAACAACAACGACTGTTTAAACGGTAATGTTCATTCTCACAATAAGCTCTCATTTTTACCTTAATGTAACTCGAGTGAATCTAAACGATTGTTTGTTTGTTTATAGTCACCAACTGTGAAGACGTTAGCGACCCTGTTTGTTTGTTTATGTTTGTT